GTGTGTGTGTGTGTGTGTGTGTTGGTCTGCTAAGCATTTCAGAGTGGATCTGTGTGTTTGCTCTTGATAAGTGAGATCTTGATCTGTGTGTGTGTGTGGCTCGCTGAGGCGTGCGTCTATGTGTTCTGACAGCGTGTCCTTGTTTGCATGACTGCGAACATTCCTTCATTAGAACCAAAACCAGTCTGACTCAATTAGAGCGGACTGTCCGTCCATCCATCTGCGTGTGTGAGAGTGTGTGTGTGTGTGTGTGAGAGTGTGTGTGAGTGAGTGTGAGTGTGTGTGTGTGTGAGTGAGTGTGTGTGTGAGTGAGTGATTCAACTAAAACGCTTCCGAAAAAACATTCCATGAACGATGTATAAATGTTTTCCTGCTAATGTGTTGAGAACATTATTAAAGCTGTTATGTTATCGATACTGGAAGAATGTTAGCTCATAATGTGGAAAGAATCTTTCTGAGAATGTTCTCTGTTAGCTGAGTGTGATGGTGTGCTCCGTGTCGTTCTGCACAGTTTCCCTGATGTTCTGCCGTCAGTGTGAACTCACTCTGAACTTCTGAAATGTCACGCAAACTGAGTGTTGCATTAGCGTGTTAAACATGTTCTGTTTGTCTCCAGATTACAGGACGGGGCCATGTTTCGCGTCGGTCAGTAACCAGATGTGTCAGGGTCAGCTGACGGGAATCGTCTGCACCAAGACGCTGTGCTGTGCGACGGTGGGACGGGCCTGGGGTCATCCTTGTGAGCAGTGTCCCGCGCAACCGCACCCCTGCCGCCGCGGCTTCATTCCCAACCACCGCTCCGGGGCCTGTCAGGGTGAGACGCGCACACACACAATCACACACTCACACACACTCACACAATCACACTAGCACGCACTCACACACACCCTCTCACTCACTCACACACACACACACACACACTCTCACTCACACACTCTCACACACACACACACACACTCTCACACACGCAGATGGATGGACGGACAGTCCGCTCTAATTGAGTCAGACTGGTTTTGGTTCTAATGAAGGAATGTTCGCAGTCATGCAAACAAGGACACGCTGTCAGAACACATAGACGCACGCCTCAGCGAGCCACACACACACACAGATCAAGATCTCACTTATCAAGAGCAAACACACAGATCCACTCTGAAATGCTTAGCAGACCAACACACACACACACACACACACACTCTGACTGTAAGTGAATCGCTTAGGTGATGCACCTGCTGATCTGAGCTGAAGGCTGATGGGAGCAGTGCTGGGGTAAGATGTGCCGGTTGATGAGGATCTCCAGTATTGTCACAGACCGGCTCCGGTGTGTGTTAAACACACAGATCCACTCTGAAATGCTTAGCAGACCAACACACACACACACACACTCTGACTGTAAGTGAATCGCTTAGGTGATGCACCTGCTGATCTGAGCTGAAGGCTGATGGGAGCAGTGCTGGGGTAAGATGTGCCGGTTGATGAGGATCTCAGTATTGTCACAGACCGGCTCCGGTGTGTGTTTGTGTGTGTGTGTGTCTGTGTGTGTGTGTGTGGTTTGGCTGTGACTGTAATTCCTCCAGCTGGGTAAATTCTTTTATCGTCTGGCTGTCTGAGTCACTCTGGGAGGGTGAGAGCGTGGGCTCGTCTCGCTTTCGTCTCCTCACTCTCTCTGTTCGGTCTCACACTTCTCCTCAAATCAATCAGGCTTTTATCTTGTCCCTTAATATTTCTTCTCTATTTACTCGTCTCCCTGCTCCTCACTGTCTGTCTGTCTCTCACCTGCCCGTCTGCCAGTGCGTGTGTGTCTGTGCATGTGACTCAGAGCTGCATTCTTCTGTGTGTGTGTGTGTGATGCAGGTGTGTGTACAGTATCACTATCATAGTGCATATTAACCTACACTAGACTGATGGGATCAACACGTCTGACTGCACTAGCTGTCTCCATTACTGTTCAAAAGATTTAAAGAACTAAGCACTTTTATTCAGCAAGGCTGCATTGAATTGATCAAAAGTGACAGTAAAGACGTTTATAATGTTACATAAGATTTCTGTTTCAAATAAATGCTGTTCTTTTGAACTTTCTATTCATCTGTTAATCCTGAAAAATAAAATGCATCACAGTTTCCACAGAAATATTGTGCAGCACGACTGTTTTCAACATTGATAATAATCAGAAATGTTTCTAATAATCAGCATATTATACTGATTTCTGAAGATCATGTGACACTGAAGACTGGAGGAATGATGCTGAAAATACAGCTGCGCATCACAGAAATACATTACAGTTTAACATATACTCACATAGAAAACAGCTGTTTTAAATTATAATAATATTTCACAGTTTTTATTGTATTTTTGATCAAATAAATGCAGCCGTGGTGACCAGAAGAGACTCTTTCAGAAACATTAAAAAGTGAACTGACTTTTGCATTTTAGTGTATATACTGTATGTCTTATTTGCTTTGTTGCGGGTAAAACAGTATGATTTATTCAGTGGAAGAAGAACATCTGTACAAGTCTTTACAAAAAGTCACATGATCAATGCCACTCATTTACTTACATTTGATTAGTCATACAGAAATAGAGCACAATCTGAAGATTATCATTTGTTTATGTCTTAACTCTGTGCTTTGTTCTCAGGCTCCACAAACACACATGAAGCATTGCGACATGAGACTGGAGCTCTGATATTTCCTCCTCATGTTGTTCTGTTTTGAATTATACACACTGATTTGAGTGCATCTGTTGTGTTGTGTTGTTAAAGCATTTCCTCTCTCTGTGTTTGTGTGTGTGTGTGCAGATGTGGACGAGTGCCAGGCCATTCCTGGACTCTGTCAGGGGGGAAACTGTGTGAATACTGTGGGCTCATTTGAGTGGTGTGTGTGTGTGAGAGAGAGAGAGAGAGAGAGAGTGAGTGTGTGTGTGAGATCCGTACCCGCCCCGCTCCCAGAAATAATGGCCCAGAGCTCTGGAAAGCACCAGCGCGAGAGCCAAACTCAGACTGCTGTCCATTATTAGTCAAGTCGTATTTCACTGCAGAGATGCTGCGGTCTGTCGTCTGACAGTAAATCTGACGTTCATATTGCTCAATAATTCACATCACACAGCAAAACTGGGTCCCGCAGCTGCAGGGTTGTGTAGATGACGGCCCGTTGCTCTCGTTAGTAGTCTGAGAGACAGAATCTGAGTTTTGAGTTCAATTTGACTTGAGACTCGATTTGGATTCTGAATTAGCTTGTTGAGAAAACTTTATTTCACTTACTGACAGTTCTTCATCAGGCGCATCACAATGTAGCACTGCATCAGTGTCTCTGCAGTGAATGGGTGCCGTCAGAATGAGAGTCCAAACAGCTGATAAAAACATCACAATAATCCACAAGTAATCCACAGCACTCCAGTCCATCAGTGAACATCTGGAGAAGACGAAACACAACAACTTTTTTCTCGTAATTTAATGAGTTTGTTCTGAACATTTAATTTAGGCTTTTTTTTCTTGAAACAACTTTTTTCTCGTAATTTAATGAGTTTATTCTCAACGTTTTATTTTGACATTTTTCTTGAAATTGAATGAGTTTAATCTCGCACTATAATGACTTTAATCTCTAGATGTTTTTTTTTTTTTTTTACTGTTTCTTGGCCCTAATCCTCTTCCATATGTAAGAGACTTCTTTCAGAAACCTTAAAGAATTCTTACCGACCCCAAGCGTTTAAACAGTAGTGTAGATATCAGTTACTCCTGCAGTCATTATTATCCTGAAGATCTTGCATGCAGGTAAGTAGTTGGACTATAACTAGTATGATTTGCTTGGACCGCCAGCTTCACAGGTGTGGTTGTGATGGTGAAGGTGTTTGTGTGAGAGCAGCAGGTTTAAGCGTGATGATCTGATGGTTTTGTGTCTCTCAGACATTGACGAGTGCTCTCAGATCCCGGGCCTGTGCAGTGCAGGTCAGTGCTCCAACACCATCGGCAGCTACTTCTGCAGGTGTCCGGTGGGCTTCGACACGGCGCTGGACGGCTCGCGCTGCATCGGTGAGTCCCACCGACTCTCACTGTCACAGTCTGATTTATTAAATCACTGTAATGATCTCCTGATCTCCTCTGAAACTCTCCTTCTGTCGGTATGTTTTCTTATAGTTCACATTTAAAGTCATAATGAAACCTAAAAGAGGAGAGCAGTAGATCCTCCAAAATCCACTGCACACTCACATTCAGATCTCAAATGAAACACTCATTTCATACATTTCACAATTGGTTAATATTTCAATAACTTAATAGCACATTTGTATGTTAACGGTCTCTGACGTTAATGGTCACATGACATGCAACATATTTTTTAGTGTTTTATTTTGATAGTTTTTAAAAAATATTATGAATTCATTTAAAAAATGTTGTTACTTTTTATCATGCAATTTTAATGTTTATTTTGATTCGTGTTTTTTTAATTTCTTTTTTAAAAACAGTTATTTTAATTTTACATTTTAATTTCATTTTTAGTAAGTGTTATTTGGATTGTTTTTATTTTTAAAATTACTTATTTTCATTTTGCATTTCTATAATTTAATAAATTTTTTAGTGTTTTGTTTTTAAAAGCATTTATTTGTTTTTGATTTTGCATTTTATATGCTTTAAATAAATTTCTGAATATTGTATTTTGATCCATTTTTATTTTAAAACCATTTATCGTAATTTGTCATTTTTCTGATTTGATGAACCCTGATCCAGCTAACCGGGTTTGAATGGCATTAGATGTGAACTGACTGTGGCAGAACATTCAGTTATTCATCAGACCAGTGAAGCACATTCAGATGAAGCTGATGAATTACACGAAACTGTAAAAATAAGCGTTTGTGTGTGAGTGAGTAAGTGAGTGTGTGTGTAAGTGGGTCAGTGGTCTTCAGCTGATGTGTGTTGGCTGAGATTGTGTGGAAGGAATGTGTGCTATGACTCGATCCACTCCAAACGTTTCCTGAGCCAAACATCCCTCTCTTCTCCTCCATCATCGTGCTCCCTCGTGTTACTCCTGCAGCTGGAGATGCTCTGTCATTACACCGACTGTGCCGTCACACTGCGAGTGTGTGTGTGTGTGTGTGTGTGTGTCGCCACGTACACAATGTGAGGTGACACACGCGTGCACCCAGCTAATAAAAAACATGCTCTTAGAACGTTTTGCTAATGTTCCAATTAAGTTATAAAAACATTATTTCTGAAAGTTCTATGAACATTCAAAACATTCCGTTTTTAAATGTTTTAAAGACATTTTTATGAGAATGTTAAGGGAACATTCCATTGTATCATTTTGCAAACGTTACGGGAACACTACTTTTGAATGTTCTCTGAACGTTCTGAAACAAGTAGTGATGTTTGAAAAACTGTAGACAAAAGTTCAGGAAAAGAGTTTGGTGAATAATGTATAAATTATGTTTTGAGAAGATTATTAAAGGCCAGATAACTCTGAACGAACGTTCTGTGAGTGTTACTGGGAGAACGTTTGTTCACAAGCTTTCCAGAACATTCTGAGAATGTTTTCTGTTAGCTGGGTGGACATGTGTTTGTGAATCACAGATTCATTGATGAGGGTGTTTAAAACAGATGTTCTCTTTAGCCAATCAGATGTGAGTTTTTAAAGGGATAGTTCACCCAAAAATGAAATTTACTCACCCTCAAGCCATCCTAGGTGTGTATGACTTTCTTCTTTCAGACGAATCCAATCAGAGTTATATTAAAAAATGTCCTGGCTCTTCCAAGCTTTATAATGGCAGTGAATGGGTGTTTTTGTTCAATAGTCCAAAAGAAGTCCAATAAAGTGCATCCATCCATCATAAAAAGTGCCTCACACGGCTCCGGGGGGTGAATAAAGGCCTCCTGAAGTGAATCAATGAATTTTTGTAAGAAACTTATCTATATTTAAAACTTTATAAACCGTAATCTCTAGCTTACGCTAACTGTCGTACGCGCGTTCATTCCGGCGGATGACGTAGGACGCCGCAAAACGAAACACTGGTCATGAATTAAAAGTACAAAACGAGGATCTGTAAAGAAAATGTGGGAGTATTCCGATATAAGCCAAGAGGAGACAGGTTTTCCTTTGCTAAAGTACGGAAACTTTGCTTCCTTTGCTGCTGTAAACAAACTGCGGTCCTCGCGAGACTAGCATATTCTAGCATATTCATACATCATCCGCCGGAATGAACGCGCATACGACATTACGGTTTATAAAGTTTTAAACAAAAATGCATCGATTCACTTCAGGAGGTCTTTATTCACCCCACGGAGCCGTGTGAGGCACTTTGTATTATGGATAGATGCACTTTATTGGACTTCTTTTGGACTGTTGAACAGAAACACCCATTCACTGCCATTATAAAGCTTGGAAGGATATTTTTAATATAATGCTGACTGGATTGGATTTGTGACTGCATTAGATTGTGTTAGATAAGTGCAGTGACGCTGTGTTTGTGTGCCCTGCCCCAGATGCTCAGACGGGGTTCTGCTACGCTAGCATCGTGAACGGACGCTGTGCTAACCCGCTGCCACAGCGCATGTCCAAGAGTCAGTGCTGCTGCGAGAACCGAGGATGCTGGTCCGGATCCACCGTCCCAGAGATGTGTCCCATCCGCGGAACAGGTGAGGATGAGCTTTATTAGTAACTTTATTTCTGTTTTCTATTTCAACGACATAGAAAATCGTTTAGAACAGCTGAAATAGTATTTGAAATAGTATTTTGAACAAGCAATATAAAAGATGGTATTATGGTACAGAAATTGAACTGAATGATAATTGAATGTGAATTTGAAACTCTCTCTCTCCCCACTCAGAGGAGTATCAGAGACTCTGTCTGTATAGTTACACGGTTCCTGATCCAGACCGACCAGATCTAGGTCAGATTCCCATTCTGGTTCCTGGTATTATTCCTCGCCCCGGTCCTGGTCCGGATTTTCCTGATGTCCCACGAGATCCCATACCTGTGAGACCGTACCGTCCCATACCGCCCACATCTGTTGACCTTCCCTCATTCACCATCAGACCTGGTAATGCACACAAACACACCTAAACACCTCTGAAGGGCTTGGCATTGAAAAGACACGCCTCACTTCCTGTTTACTTCCTTGCTGTCAATTTGTGAATGTGAGTGCTATATGAAACCGTTCATATCAAGAACACTTGAGTAACTTCTTACTGGCTTTGTGTCAGAATCATCTGTTCTGAATGTCAGGCAGATCTGACAAAAGAGCTGAGAGTGTTGAAAACACTAGAGCATAAAAGCAGTGTTGAGTCTTTTAAAAAATATTTTTTACTCTCTAAAAATGCATAAATCCCGCACACTACTCAAACTTGCATAATTTTTATCCAATGCACATATGAGTGATTTGGATGTGCGCTATATTTTTATTATACTCACAAATTCTACCTGATAAAATGTTTTACAGCATGGCATGACTAGAAAATTGTAAATTCATAATAAAAATGGCATTTTAAGATCTGAATAATTTCAATTGTTTCCATGTCTAGAAATCACACTTTAAAAAAAAAAAAAAGAGGCTTCCTCATATCAGTGTTATTTCAGTATCAGATAATATGAGATACTATTATAGTTTTATTAATAATTTGAATCAGTTTTTATTTCTATATTTTCTGTTTTCATTAAAATTTTAGTAAAATTTTTAGTATTTTTTGATTTTTTTGTCAGTTTTAATAGTTTTTATATGTCTATACTAGTTTTTTATTAATTTTTATTTATAATATAACGCGGCTCAGCCAATCAGAGTCAAGCACCGGAACTCTCCGCTTTATAAGGAAAAATGTTGTCTTGGCAACTAGCTGAAATAAATTTTTATTTTATTTAATTTTTTCATTTAATTTCATTTCAGTTGATGTGCATTTTTATTTCAAGTAACCAAAATGTTTTTTTTAATGTCTGTAATTTTAGTTAACTATATAAACTCTGCCTCATATATCCAGGTTTTTCTAGAGGCGCTGGTTTCGAGGGTTTGAGAGGCTGATCAAACTCGGCTAGCTTAACAAATGTCTCTGATATTTTCCCATCTCTCTCTCTCTCTCAGTCATCGTGCCTCAGAACATCAGCATCAGCATCAGGAAACAGGGGTACAACCCTCAAAAGGACACATTTGTACCTTCTTTACCCCTAAAGGGTGCATAGTAGTACCTTAGAGTAATAATATGTACCCTTAAAAATATGTACTCTTATGGTGCTATTATGAACTGTTCAGGGGTAAAGAAAGTACAAGGATGTCCCTTTAAGTGTACTGCCCTAGTGACAAACTATTGTACCCCTAGAGGTACTGGGAGGTACTCTAGAGTTTTCTGGGAGTGTACTTGATACATAGGAAAGTTCTTGAATTTACTCCCAGGAACAAATGCAGTGTGCAATTGAAAATTGTGTGTACAGGGCATTTACTCACATACTGCTAACATGAGACTCAAGTGTTGACATTAGATAAAGTGAGAGGCTTCGCGGAATTCCACAGCTGTTCATCCCTTTGAATTTCCCTATCTCCATATTCAAATTTGTCTTCCAGAAGGGTATGATGCAATGGAGGGCACCTCATTGCTAAATGAGGATATGATTGAGGATGATGATGGCGCCAGCTCCTCAGCTTATCAGGAAATCGAGCGGTTTGAAAGAGAAAACGCTGCACGTAGTCAACACAGCACCAGTTCCACGGTCACGGCTATCTCCATTCCTCCTACCTCCTCGCATGCCTACCGAGTCCCGTGTCCGCCCCCGTCCCAGCCCCCACCGGATCCACCTGTTCCGCAGGCTATTCAGGCTTTCAAGGAGTCCGCAAACATGGTGGCTGCCTTCAACATGCAGTGGAAGGAGGAGATATCGGCGATGCGCTACGAGCTAGCAGAGCTGCGCAGGGATGTTTGCGGAGAGCTCAAGACTTTCAACAGCAACTTCTTTAATTTCACCCAGTGCTATAACATGTGGACCATGTGCCGGGACGCTGCCACTGGCACCAGTTCCAGCACTAGCGAGAGGGTGTCTGTTGGCGTCCAGACCGGCGCTAATGGTCTGGTGAGACAAAACACTGCAGACGCCTCAGTAATGTGTCAGCCAGAACCGGCTGCCTTCAACATTTTCGACCTGATGGAGCCTCCGCGCATCGAGATCACTGAGGGAACTCCTGAAGGAACCACGGCCACCAACAGCCCAACCAGTCCTGCCAGTCCAGATAGACCCACCACCGGCCCACCGCTGTCCAAGCCGTTGGGACGGTCCAAACTGGACACTTGCAAAAAGAAGAAAAACTGCAGTCGAGCGGACGGTCAAAGAAGCGCCAGCCTTGAACTCTGGTGCAGAAAGTACACTAGTGGACCAATGTCCTACATATCTCTATCCTTCTGATCATTCTCATCACTGGAACAGACATTGACTTTGTTTCTGAATCAACACTATACACCTGCATCCAGAGAAGAGCTTGTCCCTATTCTCTTGGCAAAAAAGTTGATAGCTTGGCTCAAATGCCGAAAGGAGAAGGTGTCGTTATGGCATAATGGGGATAGTGTAGCTATTCTAACTGGAACCATTTGTTGTGCCGGATCATAAAATCTGTTTACATCACTACGGAAATTAATCATGAATGTCATTCACATTGTAAGGAATGTCACAATTTGTCTGACTGTCACCATCAGTGTTTTGTCCATGGCTAAAGCAGTTTTTGTGACAGTGGTGAATTATTTCACTGCTCAGTCTGACCAAAAGAGGTTATGAATATAGTTGAGAAAGATGCACATTTTTTGGCTTATACTTTTAATGTTTATCAAATAAATCTAAATTATTTAAATTCGGCAAATTTTTTCAATATACTTCTTTGCATTGTTTTTAAATTAGTTATTTAACTTTTTTGTAGACGGGTGAAAATACGGAATACCGTTAACTTTAGTGACGTAATGAGTTCAGTTTGTAGGCAATCCGTGTGTCATTCGTTCATGTGTTTTTCGATTTAATATTGAAAGTAGAAAAATTTGAAAAGCCCCCCCCCCCCCCCCCCCCCCCCCCCAACACACACACTCACTCACTCACTCACTCACACACACACACACACTCACTCACTCACACACACACACACAAGCACACACACACACAGACACACACACGCGGACACACACGCGTGTGCACACACGCGCGCACGCACGCACACACACACGCTCGCACACACACACACACACACACACGCTCTCACACACACGCTCACACACACGCTCACACGCACACACACACGCTCACACTCGCACACACGCACACACGCACGCTCACACGCACACACACACGCTCACACACACACACACACACGCACACACACACACATGCTCGCATGCACACACGCACACACACATGCTCACACACACACACACACACGCTCTCACACACACGCTCACACGCACACACACACGCTCACACACACACACACACACACACACGCTCTCACACACACGCACACACACACACACACACACGCTCACACACATGCACAGACACGCTCATCACACGCGGACACACACGCGTGTGCACACACGCGCGCACGCACGCACACACACACGCTCTCACACGCACACACACACACACGCTCTCACACACACGCTCACACACACGCTCACACGCACACACACACGCTCACACACACACACACACACGCACACACACACACATGCTCGCATGCACACACACATGCACACATGCTCACACACACACACACACACGCTCTCACACACACGCTCACACGCACACACACACGCTCACACACACACACACACACACACACACACGCTCGCACACATGCACACACACGCTCACGTCTGCCTGCTCTCTGCAGATCTGGATGAGTGCGTGGCCAACGGTCGCATCTGTAACAACGGCCGCTGCGTCAACACAGAGGGCAGCTTCCACTGCGTGTGCAACGCCGGCTTCGAGATCTCAGCTGACGGAAGGAACTGCCAAGGTGACCCACAATGCACTGCAGTTTACAGACGGACATGAGCATGGGCCTTCGATAGTGAAAGAAACTAGATTAGACGGCATAACTTTCACACTGGTCTGCTTTTATATCTGCATTACCACTGATTGGACGCTAGGTGGTGCTGTGGAGTAATCGTCACTGCAGAAACGCAAAAATACTGATTGTTTCCAAACAGGTTTCACAGATACTCTGGTAAACTATCCTATTGCACACCTCTAAACTGATCAATGTGGACAGTTAGGCACTACGGTGGGTGGAGTCTGAGTGGGTGGGTGGAGTTTAACTGCATGGGTGGAGTCAGGGTGGGTGTGGTCTAATTTCAGGCGAGGTGTTTGAGTGAATGTAAATGACATGTTTGCAGGGTTCGCACAAGTGCTTGAATTTATATTTTAGAAATATATGTTCTAGAACACCTGGAAAATCATCTTCAGATTAATCACATTCTCTAAAGGAAGAAGTATTCCCATACGGTACTTAGCTGTGGAATAATCAGTAGAAGGCTATTCTTTTTTCAGAAACTGTTTTTTAAGCGTTCTCGTGTCATTACAGGGTGCTCAAGGCTGTATATGTTGTATAATTTGTATAATAGGAATTATTACATAAGTATATTATATAGAACATTTTGTTCTTAGAGACCATTTCACACAAAATGTGTTTTTTCATTCCACTGTGCTACTTTTCTGTTGTTTTTTATATAAACGTTGGGCTCGTTCGAAAAACAGCGTTCAAGTTCAAATAAGTTGAACTTTTTAAAAACGTGTTTTTCTCCGTTCCGCTGCCTGCGTCTTGTGTTTTTCAAAGCAAAAGCTTGTTCTGTGTGAACGGCCTCTTCGTCTGTATTCTTTTTGCATATTAAGTTCTGGTTTGATTTTTTCAAAAAGAATATAATAAGCAAAGAGAATGTTAGAAATAAAGTAAATTAAGAAAAACATGTATTATATGTAAGTCCTTAAAAATATAGGTGCTAGAAAAAGTGCTGGATATTCATGAGGTGATGAATATCTGTGATATCACAGATTTCTGTGTGTGTGTGTGTGTGTGTGTGTGTGTGTGT